TTCGGTTTTTTGTTTTTTTTTTTTTTTTTTTACTAAATTGTCATTGAAGGGAATTAGAAGTGAAATATAATTCATACAGCTTATATGAATGCACGGTATTATAGGTGTATATAAGAAAAACGTTTATTTGTTTAATAAACACAACTTGTTAAAACTATTGCAGTAACTGTATTAAACCTCAAAGTACACTGTTACATAGATATTTATCAATTTCAAAAGCTTGATCACGATTATATGCAATTAAGTTGGAAATTAAATACAAATAATAGACAATGACGAACCCTTTCTGCTCTAACATAGTTCATCCATCATCAGTTAACAAGATTTGCATAGCGCAACAAAATATAGTGCATACGTCGTCAATGTTGACGAATACTGAAATTTCTCACGTCAGTTTGTTTCAGAATTTTGTGCAAAGCTACACAAGGGCAAACTGCACGTAACCGTCCATAATTTTCAATTGATAGACTGGAGGAAAGGCAGTAGTCAATAGCGCACTGGAGGAAAGGCAGCTAGTCAATAGCGCACACAACTAACTTTTGGGAATCGTTTTTCTGACCGAATGGTAGGATTTGACCGTCACTCTAATATTGAATCCACTGCCTTCGAGTTTTCGTTTTTTTTTTTGGTTTTTGAAATTATACTATAGTTAGGCATTACATGATCATTAGCTTTCCGAGAAGCAAGGAATTTGTACTGATCGTAAGTGAAAAGTATATTATTGATTAATGATTTTTGGTAAGCACACGATTAGAAATATCTAAGTATTGCTTTTCAATAATTGTTTTGGTTTGTCTTAACTAAAGCATATCACGTTTGTTCTTTTTCACAATATTTCAAATTTAAATTCCACAACTGCTTTCAAGTGACTGGAGAGAGTGAGCATTGATAACTTTCGAGTGCCATGAATTTCATTCAACTTTCTTCTCTTAATATGACATAAAACTCGAATTGATTTGTAATATAATAAATCTACATAAACATATATATATAAACAAACAAAAGTAAAAAACTTGTTATTACTACGTGTTTATACTGTATATAAAAAATTCCTCGAGGGTATTTTTTTTATTATTATTTCATTTTATATCCACGTGAAAACGTGACGTTCTTGAAACATTTAGGTTTAAAAAGTATAAAAATAACGTTAGCTCGTAATAGCAGACGTTTATCATATTCTACCAGCCTAAAGGCTTTGGGCATTGTAATGAAATAACTCAACTCATAAATTTCATTAGTTCTAGTTATGGGTTTCTTTTAATTGTAATTGGGATCATACTTTAGATATTTACAATTACAAATACAGTTACATTTATTTTACAGAGAACTGGAAAATAAACATTATTATATACCATTCTGACAAACAAGTGCTTCGACCTGCTACTTCCTGTTCAACATAGCATACTAGCTGATGGCCAGCCTGATATACGTACTGACCACATAGGGAAGAGATATAGGGTCTTCACCCTCCACAAACTCTATAGGAAAACATAACTATAGAACTCTACGAACTGTAAGGATCGTGACTAAATTAACAGAACGTTTGCCAGAAGTACGAAATAAATTAAAAACTGCCAAAGCATAAGTGTAATCAATAATTTAAAAATGCTTCGTATTCGTATTCTTCTTAGTGGTATAAACCGAAGATAGGAAGGGTATGATATGCGGGGATAGATCCATGTTTCAACCCTCCCATGTCCGTGCCTGGAGGCTCAAAAGATACATGCCAAGCGATCCAGCGGTTCACAATTTATAAGCGGACACATTCACACTGACGTTTGTCAAATAGTGTCGTTGTTTATTGGAAATTAGTGAAACTAAACTCCAAGCTTTAGAACACGTACGAATCATTGCAAGATATTCATAAATGAACAGAGTAAAAGGCAAATCTAATTTATCATCTTCACGAATGTTTTTCTCTATAAAAACAAACGTAATTTAAAAGGAACCTCTGGTTTTCTGCGTGACAAGTGAAATGTAAAACCTGGCTATGAGCAATAACTCACAATAACTCACAAACAAAACATCTGGATGTTTGTCTACTTACTGCGACTCAGCGGTTAGTATCCCTGACTGGGAATCTTGGTGTCTACTTACTGGGCCAAGTGCGACTCAGCGGTTAGTATACCCGACTGTGAATCTTGGTGTCTACTTACTGGGCCAAGTGCGACTCAGCGGTTAGTATACCCGACTGTGAATCTTGGTGTCTACTTACTGGGCCAAGTGCGACTCAGCGGTTAGTATACCCGACTGTGAATCTTGGTGTCTACTTACTGGGCCAAGTGCGACTCAGCGGCTAGTATTCCTGACTGTGAATCTTGGTTTCTGTGGCTCGCGCTCCAACACTAAATACAAAGAAAAATTTTGCTCCGCACTTTGGAACTATGGGTACGTTATAAAAGTGACAGTCAAATTCGATTAGAGTAGTCCACGTGTTAGCGGTGGGTGGTGTTGGATAGCTGTCTTTCCTCTAGTTAATTACTTCAAGATTAGGAACACGTAGCCTTCGAGTAACTTTGCGCGAAATTCTACAAGCAACAACATGTTCTTGCATATTCTCAATTTTATGGTTCTACGAATAATTGACACAGATCCATACATATAGATTAGATCCACTCCTAATATTACAGGCATGACTGAGTAAGAATTTTTTTTAAAATATAATGTATACAACGAAAGAACGGAGCTTCGAAATAAACACATTAGGTGAGAAAAAAATCGTTTCGTAATAGAATTTACAGAGCGTGTATAATTTTCGTAACATTAAAAGGTGCCTTCCTACATATTATTGCGAGGCATGCGAAACTATTATTTTAACCATTATAGCCCTGGGGCCAGTATAAAAATTGTTTTTTTGTTTGTTTTTGAATTTCGCGCAAAGCTACACGAGGGCTATCTGCGCTAGCCGTCCCTAATTTAGCAGTGTAAGACTAGAGGGAAGGCAGCTAGTCATCACCACCCACCGCCAACTCTTGGGCTACTCTTTTACCAGCGAATAGTGGGATTGACCGTCACAATATAACGCCCCCACGGCTGAAAGGGCGAGTATGTTTGGTGTGACAGGGATTCGAACCCGCGACCCTCAGATTGCGAGTCGAGTGCCTTAACCACCTGGCCATGCCGGGCCCAAATTGTACACTAACTTTTTCATTTATAAACTACATTAAAAATCTTACATACTGAGCTGAAATATACAATAAAAGCTAATCCAGTATTTTATAAAATAAGCTGCTTATAGCATAGTAGTGTATCTTGAAGTTTTGTTAACAAATGTTTTAGTATCAGTGATACTTGTTAAATCTGTTATTTTACTTACATATGTTAATGATGAGTTTTATATAAGAAACTCACAGAACACTGATTCCACAAAATTCCACAACGTAAATGTTAAGTGTAAAGAGCTAAATAAAATGCCTGCCTTAAAAGCTCGCGAT